AATGGTAAAATGGCATAACAAATGAACTGGATGGATAGTCAAGAGACCTGTTCTATCTTAAATCTGTTGTTTAATAGGATATATGACCTTAAATCATATAAGCACTTAGAACTTTGGTTTTTTGATCTGAAATATTATTCATGAAATTATAATTAGAAATCAATCAGAAATTGATCTGAAATATTATTCATGACATTTAGAAATTCTAAAATAATTTCTAAAGAGGTCTTAGGCTTCTCAGATTGCTAGTGTATGCATGTGATAAGCTTTTATAAGCTAGAATGTCAGATTGTCTTGGAATGCTCTCTTAAGGTATTGGTCTTTTCCTTGTATTTACAATATTTGAACTCAATTTTTATTTCAGTTATAACGGACAGAATTACCAAAGGAAAAACAAACATTACCCTTCATTCACAATACACACCCTTCTCTCTATAGCAAATATACATAAAACACACCCCTGCATACACCCACATGCATATATCCACACCCATGGCCCTCAGAAACACAAACATAGGTTTGAACATTGCCTCATCCATAAACCAAGTTCCCACAATGATAGGAAGCCACATATCTCCCCAGATAGCCTCCCTCAAATGTCTTATGAGGGAATTCTTTATGAATTCCTAAATCTTTCAGGATACATATCCCTTCTATAAACTAGCCCCAAACCAGAATTCTATTAATTCTCACCCTGACAATGCCATTTATTAGCTTATCTTTGCAAGTGCAGTATTAAGATAAGACTAGAAATCATCTCAGAGATAATGATGAGATTAAAAATTTCAAAGGCAGAGGAAGGGCCTTCAGGGGCTGGTGGACATTGCTTAAAAGCAAACAAGCAAGTAAACAAAACCTGCTAAGGAATTAAAATGCCTTCATAATCTTTTATTTTAAATATTCATGATATGTCGCATTTCCTACAATGATATGCTGAAGTTTAGACTAACAAAAATGTTTAGAATTATTTTCCAACCAAATAACCTTAATTTTCCCTCAGAAATCATTAAATAAAAATCACACAATAGGAAAAATGTGCTTCAGTAATTGTGATATGGCTCAGACACATATTTATCATCAAGTGTTTTTGGAGCTGAATGATTTCACTTAGCTACACAAAGACTAGTTTCCACATTAGGAGAGAATCCTATCGTACGTAGTCAAAGTTGTTACCACGTTAAAATGGATTTTAGAGCCATAGGATGTTTTATGCAAAACTCATGGTCACTGCAAATAAAAGCCTTGTATTAGGTAACAGAAAAGATAAAGAGGAATCAAAACATACGACCACCCCCACACAAAAAAATCAAATTACAAAAGAAGGCAACAAGAGAGAAAGAATGGCACAAAGTAACTACAAGCCTAGAAAACAATGAACAAAACTGCCCAACAACAACAAAAAAGGGGACCTGATGGCTTCTCTTGTGAATTCTACCAAACATTAAAGAAGAAATAATACCAACTCTTCCCAAACTCTAATAAACAATTGAAGTAAAGGGAATACTTTCAAATTCATTGTAGATGACCAGCATTGCCCTGATATCAAAGCCAGACAAGGACACTAGGAGAAAAGATAGTTATAGACCATCATCCCTAATGAACATAGATGCAAAAATCCACAACAAAATACGAGCAAACTGAATTCAATAGCACACTGAAAGAATGATTCACCATAATCAAGTGAGATTTATCCCTAGGATGCAAGGATGGTTCAACATACACAAATCTAAACATGTAATCCATCACATTAACAAACTGCAGGACAAAAATTATATAATCATCTCAATAGATAAAGCATTTGACAATATTTAATGTCCTTTCATGAGAACAAAAATCTCTAAAAAAATTGAATATAGAAGGATTTACTCCATCGCAATAAAGGCTATGTATGACAAACCATAACTAACATCATACTCAATGGTGAAAATCTAGAGGCTTTTCCTTTGAGATGAGGAATAAGAGGATACCCACTCTTCCTGTTGCATTCAACATAGTACCGGAAGTCCTAGCAAGAATGGTTAGGCAAGGAAAAGAAATAAAAGGCACCCAAACCAGAAATGAAAGGGTAAAATGGTTTCTGTTTGCCAGTGACAGGATCTTATATATAAAAAACTCTAAACCACCAAAAAACTGTTAGGATATGAACAGACACTTCTCAAAAGAAGACATTTATGAGGCCAACAAACATATGAAAAAATGCTCATCATCACTGGTCATTAGAGAAATGCAAATCAAAACCACATTGAGATACCATCTCATACCAGTTAGAATTGCAATCATTAAACAATCTGGAGACAACAGATGCTGGAGAGGATGTGGAGAAATAGGAACACTTTTACACTGTTGATGGGGGGGTAAATTAATTCAACCATGGTGGAAGACAGTGTGGCAATTCCTTAAGGATCTAGAAATAGAAATTCCATTTGACCCAGCAATCTTGTTATTGGGTATATTGGGTAGATACCCAAAAGATTATAAAACATTCTATTATAAAGACACATGCACACGTATGTTTATTACGGTATTGTTCACAACAGCAAAGACTTGGAACCAACCCAAATGCCCATCAAAGATAGACTGGATTAAGAAAATGTGGCACATATACACCACAGAATACTATGCAGCCATAAAAAAGGATGAGATGATGTCCTTTGCAGAGACATGGATGAATCTGGAAACCATCATTCTCAGCAAACTGACACAAGAACAGAAAACCAAACACTGCATGTTTTCTCTCATAAGTGGGTATTGAACAATGAGAACACATGGACACAGGAAGGGGAATATCACACACTGGGGTCTTTTGGGGCATGAGGGAGGTAGGAGAGGGATAGCAGGGGGTGGAGGGATTGGGGAGGGATAACATTAGGAGAAATACGTAATGTAGATGACAGGGGCTGGATGCAGCAAACCACCAAGGCACGTGTATACCTATGTAACAAATGTGCCTGTTCTGCACATGTACACCAGAACTTAAAGTATATATACATAAATTAAAAAGTCCAACTGAAAATGGATTAAAGACTTAAACATATGACCCGAAACTGTAAAACTGCTAGAAGAAAACTCAGGGAAAAATCTTGATATTGATATGATCACTGAGCTTTTTTTTAATATGACCCCAAAAGCACAGGCAACAAAACAAAAAATAGATAAAATGGGATTACCTCAAACTTAAAACCTTCTGCACTACAAAGGAGATGACAGAATGAAGAGACAACCTATGAAATGGAAAAAACATCTGCAAATCATATATCTGATAAAAGATTACTATTTAAATTATATAAGGAACTCAAATAATAAGAAAAAACATCTGCAAACCACACAACTGATAAAAGATTAATATTTAAAATTTATAAGGAAGTCAAACAAATAATAAAGTGAGAAAACAAATAATCCAATTGGAAAATGGGAAAAGGAGCTGAATAGATATCACTCAAAAAAAGACATTCTAATGGCCAAGAGGTATATGAAAAAAATGTCCAACCTCACTAATCATCAGGGAAATGCAAATTAAAACTGCAGTGAGAGATTACCTGATATCTGTTAGTATGGTTATTATCAAAAAGACAAATGGAAGTGATGGCGAGGAGGGGGAGAAAAGAGAATACTTGTACACTGTTGATGGGAATGTAAATTAGTACAGCCATTTTGGATAACAGTATGGAGAGTCCTCAAAAAATTTATATGATCCAGCAATTCTATTAATGGATATATATCTGAAGGCAATGAAGTCAGTATTTAAGAAGATATCTGCACTCCCATGTTAATTGCAGCAATATTCCCAGTAGCCAAGACATGGAAACAATGTAAGTGTGCATCAACAGATGAACAGATAAAGAAATTGTGTCATAGATACAACATATACAGTTGGGTGTTGTTCAGCCTTAGAAAAGAAGGAGATCAGGGGCCGGGCGCGGTTGCTCAAGCCTGTAATCCCAGCACTTTGGGAGGCCGAGGCGGGTGGATCACGAGGTCAACAGATCGAGACCATCCTGGTCGACATGGTGAAACCCCGTCTTTACTAAAAATACAAAAAATTAGCTGGGCATGGTGGCACGTGCCTGTAATCCCAGCTAATCAGGAGGCTGAGGCAGGAGAATTGCCTGAACCGAGGAGGCGGAGGTTGCAGTGAGCCGAGATCGCGCCATTGCACTCCAGCCTGGGTAACAAGAGTGAAACTCCGTCTAAAAAAAAAAAAAGAAAGAAAAGAAGGAGATCTTATCATTTGCAACAACATGGGTGAACCTGGAGGACATTATGCTGGGTGAAATGAGCCAAACACAGAGCATGGAAAGATAAATATTGCATTGTCTCATTTACATGTGAAATCTAAAAATCTCAAATTCATACAAATAGAGTAGAATGGTGGTTGCCGGGGGGGTGGTCAGGGAGAGGGGCAAATAGGGGATGTTGGTCAGAAGACTCCAAAGTTTAATTTACACAGGATGAGTAAGTTCTAGAGATCTATTGTACAGCATTGTGTCTATAGTTAATAATACTTTATTGCATACTTGAAAATTGCAAAGAGAGTGGACCTTAAGTGTTCTCACCACACAAATAAAAGTAACTGTGAGGTGATGGATATGTTAATTAGTTTGATTATAGTAATCACTTCACAATATCTACATATATCAAAGCATCACATTAAACACTGCAAATATACACTTTTTATTTGTGAATTGTACCTCAATAAAGTTGGGAAAAAAAAGAATTCTGGATGCTCTATTATAACTGCCATAATACTGAAGCACAAGGCGGAGGAGAACATGTCTCATAAGGAGTGGGGAAGAATTGGTAGGATCTACATCTGTTTTCTTTCAATAAATTTCTTTAAAAATTATTTACTGAATCTCTGTGCCAATCTCCAATATGCTGTGATTACAGTTCTGATATTATCCACGCTGTTATACGGACACGGAGGGATACATGGTGGCTAGAGGACCGGCTTAGATGCAAGCAAGCAAATGCTATGTGTATATATATATAGCATGTTTGTATATATACATATGAATATGTGTAGATACATGTGTATACTTCACAGATATGCGTGTGTAGATATAGAGAGCTGTCATCTATCTATATCTGTATATGCTCATGCAGAGCAATGCATACTGAGCATGGCCCATGTAATATGGTGGTAGCAGGCCACCTGGCTGGTAATTGTGCTGTGGACACTTAATATCTGTAGTGTCAAGATACTCACATCCACAGAATTTGCTGTTTTGGATTCTCTCTTACCTTGTTACGTATTCAAGTTGCAGTGGGATTTAGACCTGTGGCGTTCCTCTTATGGCCTGAGATTTAGTTTAAATCATCATTGTTGGACTGCTTGATGGTTAAGAGACTCACTGGTTTTATTTACAAAAATGGAAAAAATAAAAGAAAATGTAAAAAACAAAACAGAAAACCCAGTCCCCAACCTGCACTCTACCAGCCCCCATCACCCACTCCAGCTCCCAACTTTTCTGGACTGAGTGGCCACAGAGACTGGGTCATCTTGGATTCCCTCTGCCTCTGAGGACCCCAACAGACACCCCCAACCCCAGGCCAGCCGGCCCCGCGCTGGAGTGGCCAAAATACTACCTAGCACAGGCTTCCGCTTGAGGCACCCCCAAACTACCTATGTATCCAGCACCAGAGGGCCTCCATTCCCAGGAAGCCCCTGTGTATCCTAACACTGGTAGACACCCAGCGCCACCCTCCCAGACCTGAAAGAACGTGAATCTCAGTACTACCTACTCCCCTAAAGCTACCTATTTAGTGCTGGCTGGCTTACTTGCTACCTAGTGCCAACTCCTCCCAGGCAAGGCCCCCGATGCAAAAACAAAAAACAAAACAAAGAAATGGTTTACAGCAAGAGAAAGTTTACAAAGAAAGCACTCCAAAAATTGAGAGGACCCAGCTGAATAAATTCTCAGGCCTTCAGGAACTGTGGACTCGGGGCTTCTGTTTTTCTTCTTTCTGACTTCTCTGCTACTTTTCTTGCTACTGTGGAGGTGACTAATCCATACAAAGGCATGAGCAAGGGAAGTACACTCTGTTTATAAATATGTAAAGCCTCAACTGAAGGTGACCCAGGGCTGCAATTAGATGTTTAGTCTCTAAAAACAAACTTCAGAGCTTCCTTGTGGCTTTTTTCTTCTAGCTCTGTGGTGTGAGGTGGGCAGGAACAGATCATCAAAAGGGAGGTTTATGATTCCAGGTGGCACGCTCTGGCCACAAATAACATTTCAGCTTTTGATCAATGAAGCTCATAGGGAAACTCCAACCCTAGAATAAATGCAAAGACTGCTTTAATCAAGGACAAGTCTCTGGACAACCGTAATTCCTATGAGAGAACATGAGAATATGATGGAGAAAATATTCATCTATAGGTGTAGTACTTTCCAACTCTTACTGGCAAGCTAACGACAGGGAAGGGAGGGGAGAACTATAGACCATTTGGTGTTTTTTAAATGATATGAAGCAACCCTTTAAAGGATAGTAAAATTGTTTTGGGGGGCATTAAAAATACTTTTACAATGGAATACAATTGAATGGAATAAAAGAGTAACTAGAAAAAAATCATAGTGCATTGCATGCAGTGTAGATAAGTATTGTTTTATGAGACTTTTTGGGTGTGTATGGGTGTGTGTGTGTGTGTGTGTATGCATTCATGTGTCCAGTACTGGGGTTTGGCATGGTATTTTTGTGTGTTGGGGGGAAGGTTTGTTTGTTTTTTACTGTGGGTCCTGGTCAAAAACATTTGGTAAAGATTGCCATAATTTAACTCGTTGCCACATACTTTTGGGATCGTGGGTTTAAAAAACTAACATTAAAATTGTAACCACTCAACACTGAGCTTTTTAAAAGACTATAACTTTTACTCTTTTTGGCAGTGTTTATCAACTGCTTTGGCTTGAGGAGATAACCTGAGGTGGCAGCAAGCTGCCTGAAAAAGTAAACAGGAGGTTTATAATGAAGTTCTTGGAGGCAGATAAGACCAGGGACAGAGGGCACCAGACAGAGGTGTGTGTGTGTGTGTGTGTGTGTGTGTGTATCAGAGAGAGATTTAGAGACGAAGACTCACTAGAGGACACAGCAGGGTGTGTGGGGGGAACTGTTTTTTCTGGTAAACAATCTAAAACCTTGTTGTTCATGCTGAGATCTCGACGAGAAAACAAGTTCCAGTATGTGATGTGATTCCAAACCCGAAGAATTAACCTGAACATCAGAAACCAGGAGTCCTTAGAGTTTTGTTCTCTGCCTCAGGGAAACACTTTGTTTCTGACTGACACTAGAACTTATAAAGGAACTTTTGGAAAACCCAGGATGACATCACCTTGTTCTGGAAATTCCTAAGGATGAACACTAAAGCGTACAGAGCCATGTTGTGTTTATTTGATTTAATATGATTATCTCTCCTGTCCTTTTTTATAGGATTCTCACTTTGTTTCCAAATGCCACAGCTCGAAAATTACTGCTGATGTTGATATTTATATTAATTTTCTGGGTTATTTACTTGGCTTCGAAAGACCACACAAAGGTAGGAAGTTCCCTTTTTAAGAATTTCACAGAAGGTCATAGTGACTTCATTTGAATGATCCCCGTTATCATGGCAAGAACTAAAGGTTAAAAGCATATCATTTTAGCAGGAGAATGTGCTGAGGTGGTTCCCTGTTCAGCATAAATCCCTTTGGCAGTGCATATATTATTATTGCTTTTTAAAATGCCAATGTATACATTATTATTATTTTTTTAAATGGCAGACGGATTTGTGCCATCTCTGTACTACTTGGCACTGTAACCATCCAGCCTCAAAATTCTCTCCTCCTCCCTTGGCTTCTGAGACTTCAAGCTAATTACGTCTTTGTTTCAGTCTTCTGCCTTCTTCACATGGGTTTTCTTATTCTTTAAGTGGTTTAGTATAGTGTATTTTGGCTCTTCCCTTTGTAAGTTTTTCTTAACTCACCTTGCTTCCAGTTTCTTTTCTTCCAAATCATTTAGTACAAACATAATCTTTCAAAACCTATGCTTTCATCATCTTCTGGTCCTGATCAAACACTTCCACTAAGGACAGTATAAAGAACAAAATCCTTTGTTTAGCCATTAGATTCCCTTTTGCATTTGAACCCAAATACCTTTAAGAGTGTCTCTGGTCAGGCGCGGTAGCTCACGCCTGTAATCCCAGCACTTTGGGAGGCCAAGCCGGGCTTATCACCTTAGGTCAGGAGTTCGAGACAAGCCTGGCCAATGTGGTAAAACCCCATCTATACTAAAAATATCAAAAAGTAGCCAGTTGCTGTAGCACATGCCTCTATTCCCAGCCTCTCGGGAGGCTGAGACAGGAGAATTGCTTGAACCTGGGAAGTGGAGGTTGCAGTGAGCTGAGATTATGCCACTGCACTCCAGCCTGGGTGACAGAGTGAAACTCCACCTCTAAATAAATAAATAAATAAATAAATAAATAAGTGTCTCTCTAACTTTTGTCTAATGCAGCCTTATCTCCAAGCTTCAAACAGGAAGCACCATAGTCTAAGGCATTCAGCCAATAGTATGAACTGGTAAAAAATAAAACCCTTCAGAGCCTGCTCTATAAGTATATGTTCTCTAGATTTCTTCCTCTGATCCTCTTCTCCTCTATGCTGGTAACTTTTAATTTATATGCCCAGGTCCTATCCACTCCTAATATTAGTGTTTCACAAAGAGAGGTCTGGAAGCCTTTTGCCTAGAATACCTGTATTTTTCCCTGTGGGTAAAATGCAGATTCCTGAGCCATCGTGCAGAACTACTGAAATCTCAGTTTGAGCCTTGTTAATTTGACATAGGGGCCCACATGCTGGTCTTGCATCAGTGTGCCTTTGACATTAATGATTAGTTTATAGAGAAACTGAACTTATTTTATCTTTCGAAATTGGCCTTTACAATCTCACATGCCCACCTCTTTCATGATAGACCCTGGGCCTTGAGGAGTTGAATTACTTTAATTTCTGGCCCTGTGTCTCAGAAATGCAGTTAATTTTGATTGGTATCTTCTACCAGGCCTGAAGATGAGGCATTAATTGCTGTCAGTGTTTAAGTTTAGCAAGACTTGGTGTTCTTTTTAGACCCAAAAGTCAAAGCCCTGTATATCAATGTCACAGGACTTTAAAAGTACATACAGGAAGATACAAGGATGTAACAACATTAACTGAAAAAAATTTTTTTAAATCTCAGTTTTTCCTGAGCAAACCAAATTTAATAATAATGACATAGTAATTATTTTGATAAAACTTAAAATCTGTTAGTCCAGCTACCAAAAGGCAAAGAAAGGACCTTTTGCAGTATACAGAATATTATGTTGGAAGAAGACATTTCCTTTAGACCTTTAAGAAAATATTGTTAGCATCAGGCCACAAAAAACAGAACCCAAGGAAGCAAAAAAAAAAAAAAATCTTTTATGAACTGAAAATGAATTGAAGGGTAGTGTCACTATTTCATACCTTTTAAAAGGGGAGAGAAAACCCAAAACCCATGAGATACAATAAAAGTTGAACTTTGGGTTCAAATAAAAAATTTAAATCTCTTATAATTTATTAAGAGTAAATCAACCCCTTTAGAAAATTTCATTGTTCTAACAAATTCTATTCTTCAGCGTGTGTTTTTTACATCAAACCTGATCTCTAGAAAGACCATTATAATTTCTCTTTAATCATAGACAACTTGATCATATAAGAGTTTTTGGGTTTTTAAATAAATCTTCTTACTGTCACTTACTCACACTGTTCATGACATGCTTGAACTTTCTGGTTTGTTCTAAACATGCTTTTCCTTCAACAACCAGTCATTTTACTCTAGGACTGAATTTACCATATAACTGTTTCTTGTTTGAATTTTTTTTCACACTAGCACTTTTCACTTTCTAAAATACTATATAATTTACTCATTTATTATGTTCATTGATTATTGTCTGTCTTGACCTAGTATATAGTAACCTTTATAGAGTTGAGGATTTTTATAAGTATTGATTGGTATCACGAGTTTCTAGAACAGTCTCTGGTACATAGTAGATGCTTAATAAATAACTGGTAAATAACAAAACAAAGACTGTTCAGTGATCTGGGTGAGAGGTAATGGTGGCCTGAAATAAGCTACTAACAATAAGGATGGAGGAAAGTTAATGAATTTGAGCTATAATTGGCAGTAATAGTGATTGACTGTGGGAGGTGAAGAGGTAAGTTTGACCAGGAGTTACATTCCAGGTTTGTACAACTGCATGACTGGTGATATCATTTACTGAAGTATTAGCCAGAGTGGAAGAAACAGTTTTGGAAGATAAATGATGGATTTAGATATGAACAGTCCAGGTTTGAGGTCCTTTTAGGTCAACCAAGGGGAGGTGTTGAATATATAGATCTGATGCTGGGAAGGATCTGCCTTAGAAAAATAGATTTAGGAAACATCAGAACATAAATGGCAGCTAAAGTCATTGTAGTCTGTGCCATTTCCTTGGATGAGCTATATAGTGAGGAAAAAAAAGTCGCTAGTGATATAACCCCAAGAAACAAAATAAGCACTGGTCTGAGGAGTGAGTGGTACACAGTATGGAAGGGGACTCTTGAGAAACTGAACTGACAGGGGTGGGGAACATGTGAAGGTTATGCTAGCAATTAAAGAGGGAATCAGAAGCTCAAAAAATATTCCTTTTTGTAGTATGGGAGATACTTGAATACATTTTAATTCATATGGAAAAAGGCTAATAGAAGAAAGTAGAAAGTAGAAAAGAAAAGGTGTGGTTACACATGTTTGGCAGTGTGACAGGAAGTTGAATCACTAAGTGGTTAGTCTTAGAGTTCTCTAAAGCCAAGAAGCTTCAGGAGCAGTGATCTAGGTATTGAAAGAAGAACTGCCTCCATGGATATTGAAGTCTATCTGGAGGATGTCAAGATGTTTAGTGATTAAGATTAGGAACCAAGTTCTTCATGATCTTCTGTAAATGAGTAAAAGAATCCGGTTGGTCAAAAAATGACAGAGAAGAGGAGGGTTATGTAGTCATTGGTGATAGTTGGTCAGATATATCATGGAGAACAAGATATCTTAGGGTCTTCTGAAAAAAATGTATATCTCTTAATATATATATAAATCTTTGAAATATATGTATTTGAAATATGTGCATATATGTGTATAAAACCCTGATCTTTATACTGTTCTAAAACCACTGACTGAGTGGATTACAAACAATACAAATTTACTGCTTATAGATCTGGAAGCTGCAGAGTCTAAGATCAAGGCACCAACAGATTTGGTGTCTAATGAGGGCCTGCTTACTTGTTCATAGATAGCTATCTCTTCACGTGTACTCATATGGTGGAATGGGCAAAGGAGCTCTCTGGTAACGGCATTAACTTTATTCATGAGGGCTCCATCCCCATGATCTAATCACCTCCCCAGAAGTCCCATCTCCTAATACTATCACATTGAAAGTTGTAACATATAAATATGGGGGAATCACAAATATTCAATCTATAGCAGCATTGGAGAGAAGGTTACAACATAAATTTTGGGGCAAGCATTTCTTCTGTGTCAATTCTAATGTGTGTGTGTGTGTGTGTGTGTGTGTGTGTGAGAGAGAGAGAGAGAGAGAGAGAGAGAAACAGGTTTCCTTGCTCATATTTATGGCTCATATGTTGCATAATTATACTACATAATATTCTTGACATGACAAAACCATAGAAATAAATAACAGGTAAGTAGTGGTTGCCAGAGGTTAAATAAGGACTAGGAAAGGGTGAGGGAATAATAAGCGTGGTTGTAAAAGAGCAACACGAAGGAAAGGAAATGTTCTGTATCTTGACTCTGTCAGTTTCAATATGCTTGTTGGAATATTTTACTAGTTTTGCAAGATGTTACCATTGAAAAAAAACTCAGTAAAGGGTACACGAGATTTCTCTATAATTTATTTTTTTCTAAATACTTTTATGGTTTTAAAAATTTTAGATTCGGGGGTACATATGCAGGTCTTTTATATGGGTATATTGCATGATGCTGTGCTTTGGGCTTCTAATGCTCCCATTGCCCAGTGGTCAACATAGTATTCAACAGGTAATTTTTCAGGCCTCACCACCCTCCCTCCCCATTTTTGGAATCCCCAGTGTTTATTGTTCTCATCTTTGGGTCCAGATGTACCCAATGTTTAGCTTTCACTTATGAGTGAGAACATACGGTATTTGGTTTTCTGTTTCTATGTTAATTCACTTAGGATAATGGCCCCCAACTGCAACCACGTTGCTGCAAAGGACACAGTTTCCTTTCTTATGGCTGTGTAGTATTCCACTGCGTACATGTACCACATTTTCTTTATTCAGTTCGCCATTGATATGCAACTGGGTTGATTCCATGTCTTTACTATTGTGAATGGCACCACAATAAACATACAAACGCAAATGACTTTTTGGTAGAGTAATTTATTTTCCACTGGGTATATACCTACTAATGGATTGCTGGGTTGAATGTCAATTATAGTTTTAGTTCTTTGAGAAATATTCAAAATGCTTTTCACAATGCCTG